GCCCTCGTGTTCGTTCCCTCTGTTTTTTTCCAGGACTGTCTGGTATGAACTACTGACTTCCGAATACCCCTATCAAGGCCTGCCCACAGAAACACTCCTCTACCTCGTAGGGAACGGCGTCAAACCTGCCCTCCAAATTCCCTGCCCGAAAGACTTCAAAGTTCGTTTAAATGTTTTTTTGGCAGTACTCACATTGCACACGAATCCATACGGGAATATAGTCAAGTGTCATTTTAGCTAACCTGACCTATTTGGCGAAAGTTCACCGCGCAGAGAAGAGGACTGGTAAAGACGGAGACAAGGGACCGGGATGGTCATTTCTGACTTAACAGCCGTCGTCAGCCAGCCATACCCAGCCCCAAGTTGGTGGTCTTTAAGCATTACGCCCGAACCTCGAGCTACTTGATCGATGTCCTGTAGGTTGCGGCCGAAATATTAACAATCACAGGAAAGACGTTCACCGATGGGGTTTTAGGACATCCTGTTTCCGTTGCGCCCTAGGGCTCGACCTTGCAGACAGTCTCATAACGACCGGTAATATATGCAGGAAGGCGTACCTTAGAAGACAAGGGAGACTGGGATGGCCATTCATGGCTCGTGACTGATCCGTAGATGCCCTTTCCATAGGAGTCAATCGTGCTGTCTTCGCGAATTTACTGGTCGGCCGTCATGAAAAGTGGCACAGTGAAACACTGAGCCCTTCTACGGAATCTCCGGAATCCTTGCACTCTCTGCACGAGTATTTTTCTTACGGGACTAGGCAATATCTCAAGTCGGGTGCTGTTATGTTCTGTCGCCTAAAGACGTGATGGGGTAAGCAAAGTTTCCTCCGACCGACAGTTTGACCGTCGCCCACCGTGTGTTCCACAACAGGGCAAGAGCAGGGACGGTGACTTGCGCAGCATCTACCGCACCCCTCCTCCCTCACCCAGATCCGGTATCATGACCAAGTTAAGAAGGCCGGAGGTGGGAGAGGCTGCAGGTGGCTGGCACGGCTCACCAGCCGCATCACCATCGCCTCTGGTTTACAAATACTTGACCAGGATCTTAGCCAGCAACAATAGGGGGAGTGTGTCTGGGATCCCATTTTGGCAGCGTGAGCCTGCAGCTAGGCCTGCCACCACACCCCAAATGTTGGCATTCGTTATCAGTGGGCATTCTCGATAACACCCGCTAGAATCCGATGTAGCCCCGGTGTTGGTTCAGCGCATCTGCCGCGTGGCCCATTTTCGGGGCCACTAACTCGCACACACACACACACATATCCTGTCGAATATAGGCAGGGCATTATTTTGTCTTTGCCACTGCGTTCGATCTCACCGCTGGCCGGCTCCACCCGACCTGCCCACTGGTACACCACCGGCATAGGGAGTTTGAGGCCGACCTTGCGCGCAAGCTCTCCTCTGTAATAAATCTGGCAAGCCGCGTGGACCGGTCACGACCGCTCTTAAAGCTGATCGGGCTAAGTGCCTAACACCAATGGTGCCTCACAAATGCGAACCCCAAATCACCGAAGTCCGACCCATGTAGATCGAGGGACCGGTTATGCATGGCACGCGTAGACGGGAGCCTTAACTACCTGCCACCCACGCCCAGCCTTGACCTTGTCATTGGGACCCGATGGGCGTGTGAAGGAAAGTAGGATCGGCGCTGCGCGCAACTATCCCTGTTGCATCCAAAGGCGCGCAAAAATCACCGTTGCTTATTCAGGCAATTATGGTCATCGCCCCCTTGTTTCATACGAACTATTGGCACGCATCTGCCATCTGTAGGCAGCGAAATAAAAATAAAGCTATCCTACCACACCTGTCAACTGTCCCACAATTAATCCTGTTTCCGTCTCTAGGAAATATTGGTTCAATGTTGGTCCTTCCATCCGCATCGCAGGCCGGAGTTCACAAATCTTGTTCGTCTGCTTGATTGCCTGCCCAAGCTTCACCGCAGTCCGTCCTACCCGACCAAGCGGCCGTCACTTGCCAACCCCATCTCCCATGACCCGCTGCTAGTCTAACAGGCGCTTCACATTCACACGTGTTTGCTTCCGTTATGCAAGTCAGTGGACATTGTCTGTCCCCTTCCCCCACCCCCCCTCCTGAACTCCAACCCGAGAACCCGGTTATTTTGCGCTTCCCCTTGATTTCCACACATATACTCAAACAGCCGTTAATATTTGTACATTTCTGGAATACTTGCCAATTTTCCAGGACGCCGCCATTTACAGACAAACTGGGGACACACGGCGCCGTATTGTACCCATTGCATTTCCGGCCTCAAGCCACTCCCTGAGAATCCTGTACAGATGTTTTTTCAATTTATTTATGAACAAATCTCCTTCGAAAATTCAGTATGTTTGTTTTGGAAGGCTTTTGGATCATGTCGTTTTAGGAACTTGTCGCACTTTGTCCCACATGATTTCGATTGTCGCATCGCCATCGCTGTCCCGTTTCATGGAACGACTTATGCGAGGTGATGATGGGTTTCGGAGGGCCGTCTGAGTGAGAACAGCAGTTACATCGGACTTGGAGGCCGACGTCCAGAAATTTTTATACCCTGGAAAAACTAGAAGGCTGGCGACGCGCGAATGTGGACCTCGTGATTGGAGAGGAGTCCCCTCTGCCTTTGGCCCTCCGATTCTAATCCGCTATAACCGTCTTTTGCGTTAAGATTCTGAGATGGGGATGGGGACCGTCTTCCATCCAGGCTTTCCTTTTCTGCGCGCACTAACCGAAGCCTAAGAGCACTCCCCTACCGCGGTATTGGTCTTGCATGTTTCCTACTGACAATCCGTAATTGTGCAACAATTCCCAAGCAGCCACCTGTGCGGTGCGAGCGTAAGGTAAATGGCAGCGGGAGATTAAGGGCCGGCGTCGCACCAAAGTTCGCTGTTAGCTCCCGCACGAATGCTAATTAGTACGAACTTCGAAATAGCACAACCAGAGCCATCCTCGCCGCGTCGGATGTTGCTTAATGGGGCCCGCTAGGGCTAAACACAACCGACGAAGCCACGACATGGACAGGTGAGACGCGCTGAACCATGGAAGACTGGCGGTGGCCAGATGCTAGGATGTCCCTGTCTAGTGCTCATCAGCTGCCCTGATCAATTAGCAGTACCACAGATCGACACTTCTGAACGGACGCCCAACTCCCAACCCTAAGCAAACTGCACGTGTGGTTGGTAGGCAACGCCAGATCGGTAGGACGACAGTGCCATAAAACCGCAGTCCTAACAGTCTCTCCTCGGTAAGGCCGCCTGTCAAACTTCCGTTAGTTAGGTAACTTGTCAAACTGAAGTGGCGAAACAGACCGCTGATTTAAACGGCGTGGCGTACAGACGGCCGGAAAATAGGAAGTCCAAGGTTATTGACTAAAGAAGGCCGGATTGGGTAGGGCGGTATGCGGCAGACAAACTTAACCCTAAATCTAATCATCTTAAGTTTAACCAGAAATGCAAGCCTGACAAATGCCTACCAAAATCACGTAAGTGGGCATGTCATAGTAATAAAAACGGGCTTGCATATTCTGCCATTACCGTCAGACAGGCCGCCGGCGGTTAACACACTCGTTTCTCATTTTCACACCGGTCGACCAAAGGTCATAACAGAATTGTCCAGATGCCAGTTTTCCAGCTGCTGAGAAACATGGCGAGTGTTCGTTGATGCTTCCGAGAAATAGGTGTTGAGCAGTAACAGTGGTGAGTATCGTGGCGGTGAAAGTATGTTTTTCACGCTTTGGACAGAACACCGGCGGTTCATCCGGCCCCACACCTCCGTCACCTCGGCAATAGTGAGGTTTGCGAATGAAGGTGGACAACATGACGAGGAGGGCACCACTAATTTTTTCACCGCATTCATGGATCGCAAGGCCCCGGCAGTTAACGGCACGTTCAATAATTTGGGAGTTGTGGCCAACTCCACAGCATGTGGCTTATACCGGTCAGCCATGCCAGTACGTGAGGATTTAGAGACGCTCACTGAATATACGCATAACGATGTGACCTCTGACCTTCCACATCAATGCAAGGAAATTTATTGTGAGCTATCAAAGGTACACTAGGGAGTCATTACAGTTGGCCGTGGCCTCAATTCCAGGGGCTCTCGGGTGGGTTTACGAGCGCCATAGTTAGAATAAGGAGGGTAAGGGTTCGATTTAGGACACGGGAATGGCGACCAACAGAATTTAGCACGACACTACCTGTAGTACCTGGGTGTCCGTATTCCCGCATCCGACCCATCCGGGCCATATTCGCAGGCCCTAATGGGCAGATAAGATATTTTTGAAGGATGTTAGTTATGAGTTTGTAAAGGACCTGCATTTTTGCGGTCCGCGAAATACAGTAGGTGGGCTAACTCATGAAATGTCCACCAAAATTCTGAGATGCGTCTCCGTTTCGAAAAAATTAATTGGGTAGGGTTGTTAAACTGATCAGCCTACAGCATAATTCTATAATACTGCAATTACCTCAGGATGCCGGCAGTCAAATGAGCATTTTTTCGGGCCGCATATAAAAACTATACTCCGTAATAAATGACTACTTACGTAGCAGGCATAATATTCATTGATTTTCGATGCCTTTAAATATTCAATTATATTTCATGGAAAACATGCATAAAAATATTCAATCTCTTGCTCATTCGGTAGAAAATGACGTCTTCTTCCTAGTTATACCCCATGGAAGGGTGCAATTCGGTTTTCAAAAACTTTTCCAATTCCCGATTAATTTTGAACCCGACCTGTCGTCACACTTGCATTCAGGGTTTCCAAACTACAAGCCGCATATTTTACGCCTACGAAAAATCATACATTTCTCTATGGTATTACGAGGAGAACATATGGGGTTCATGAGTGCCCATCGATTGGTTGCGATACAAAGCACGGGAGCATCTGACCATAACCACACACACACATACAGGTCAAGTCCCTTCCCCGTTACACAAAACGCAACTCAGAGAAATCAAAGATGACTCTTTTGACTTGTTGTACAGAGGATATACACGAACACCCTATTGGTGTTTCTTGAACTTGTGTGATTTGATTAGGTTGACGCGTATGCCTCTCAGTTCGCCAGCATAGGGTGTGTCCTCCCTGCGGACTTCGGGGACGCGAGAGCGGTAGCGGATCTGGGCCTTTCGGAATTTGTATCGAAGGTGGACACGCGGGTTGCGCTCTCGCTTGTGACGGTACTTGAGGATCCCCTTATTCTCCATTATCTGTAAAAGGAGATGGGAAAAAATAACAACTCAAGCCTGAATTTATGTAGATTCACCGAAAAAAAGCAGTTTACTCAATTGACTCCCATACTTACTCACGGATATCACCGTCTAACGGCAATTGAAATCGTTTGATGACATACTAGATGTAGATTACTCAAAGAGGACTGAAAAGCTGACTGAGAGGAGAAGTAATCCCAACAATATTCATGACAAAATGTCGACTTCCGAAAGAGCACCTTTACACTAACCTGTGTGACTGACAGTTAGAAGAAAGTAGCATGACAATGGTGTGGAGTTTCTCATTAGATTGTGTGGGTGGATTGAAGTGTTTCTAAATATAATTCAGCTTGGAAAGTTGTCAGACGCACGCATTATTACTCGTTAAACCACTACCCACGGACTTATTAAGGCTGCTCATAGGGCATTCAACGTGATTCGCATTAACAGCAATATGATATAAGCTCCGAGAGGCCTCCTTATATTGGCATGTGTGAACTCGCTTCGGAGAAAATACGTAGCATGCAGTTTCGAAGAATACAAATGGTGGCTAACGTCTTTTTTTTAAATCGAAGTACATTTTCTCGTTAGTTGCAAAATTTAAAGAATCACTTTCGCATAAAATCTGTGAAGGGATTTCTTTCATGAGATATTACTGAACTTTACAGGTGCCGAAAAGCAACGGAAAAAACATCGCTTGGGAAATCACTTGAAATGGTATTTGGATAGACAAGCATTCAAAAATCAGCATCGGGCGATGTGGATAACGACTTGGCATGCTCTTCCATGATACTTACATCCGCAACCGCGTTCATTAGTTCTGGCGCATACTCGATATATACATATGTGAATGTGATAATCCCAATATGTGCGCAGAAGGGAGTCCTAACAAGAAAAACTGGGGTGTCCATCTCTGGCTTTCTAGTCTTCGTCAGTCAGTCTTACTGAAACCCATGTTTGTGGCGCCTGGTTCTTGAAACCCGCGTTTTTTGGTTATTGAGCGCTTTAAGTCCAGCGTTTTATCAAGTGACCCACGGACCCGCTGTCCTGTGGGTTGTGATAGGAAATATTAACTGCTATAGAAGTGCGCCCAGCGACCGGGTTGTGGGACATTCACGCCCCCCCGGCTCTAGATTGAGTCCCAAGGCGCGACGGAACGGGCACGTTCCGTAGTCAGATCAGTGAAGACACTTCCACCACAGAAAATATTCCGTCATGACAATCGGCCCCTGACTCAACAGAAGGGAGTTGGGTGGAATAAAACTTAGTGACTAGAGAGCGTGGGATCAAATCACAGGTTCTGAAAACCGGGGGTTTGGCAAGGCTGACTGACGATCCTTGGTATGCCAGAAATGGCCATCCTCCCGGCCTCTATAGTCCTCGTCCGAATATACCACTGGTGACCATCCGACTACCTGCAAGGCCCCCAGATTGAGGCCGAAGACACAACAGGAGAATGTCTCGTAAACCGATCAATGAATAGAAGTTCAATGGTAGAGGGGCGCTCGCCGATCATGTTACGGAACTCACTCGTCCCGTTGTGCCCTGGGGCTCTCTCTCGAACTCAACCAGCAGCAAAACAACGAGCCCGTGGCGCTGTGGTTAGAGACGTTAGACTTCTAACCAACAAGTCGCGGGATCGAGTTCCAGGTGCTGGGTACGAGTGGTTGACGACGGCTGACAAGCCAGAAATGGCCGTTCCAGTCTCCCTTGTCTTTGTCGGTAATGCTATTCTGAATACAAGTTCAACTAAAAATCATCCTAATTCACACTCGTCTCTGCATGTATCGTACTCCCATTAATTGGCCAGCCGTTTCGTAGCCTTGCAGATGGTCGTCTGCTAGTGAGCCCTAACATACTCTTCGGAATCTATTCGCCTTGGAAAGCCAACAGATAGTTCTGTCTGCATATGTTAGTCCGTCTCTGTAGCGTAAGATATAGGTCCTCTGGCAAAAAATTCTAGACATATATCCAAACACAACTTTTTTCAGGAATGCAGTCCAACGTTCTACTTGATTTTGCTGGCATCCGAACCAAATACAAATCTATTTAATGTTGAGCGGTGATACAACAAAAAATTCGGGGACGTTATTGCGGTTGACTGATTCTCCTTCCAGATTTATCAAAAAGCTCTAGTTGAATCGGTAGGGTCCAATGTGTCTGGGTGAAAGCAGCGGCAGTCAGTCATCAGTAGTTTCTACTTCTGTATATCACTCGGGGGCCTACTTCAGCTGTGAACGCTGAGAGCCAGCGCCAAGCAAAGTCAGGCCCTAAGTAGGTAGTATTGGTCGTGTTGTTGCAACTGTCATTTTGAAGATAATGTGCACCAAATTGCGAGTACAATTCGGATCCCGCTCGCCTTACCTCTTTCGTGACGGGTCGGTTGGGAAACTGTGTTGCTGGCTTCGGTTTCGGGGCCGCATCATCGGTTGGTCCGCCGTCCGAATCACTGGACCCCTCTGACTGTGAGTCCGCCCTCTCATCGCCTTCCTCCGCTGCCTCATCGTCGCTGGACGATTCCAAGGCGGCCATAAGAGCAGCTTTGCCGGAGACTTGAGGACTTCAGTGGGGGGAAAAGAAAAGACGTGCCAGTAACTTCAAGCTATAACGCATCACTGGAGGACGGCAAGAGCATCGTAGAATTTTAAGATGGTCCTGTGCGCAGGCGACTTGACACCCAAATGGCCTGTGATTGCTGGCTGATAAACACTTGACGACTTTACTCCACGCCCCCCCCCCGCCCTCTGAGGCAGTGAAATGATAAAGGCCCCAACACATGACTCTCCCGAAGTCAAACGTGAGATAACAGCCGAAATGGTCGGGCATGAGTGGAGAAACAGCCCCCAACCAACCGGCTGTCGAATATACCGCCATCGCGCCGTCAAGAAGCACGCCAGCCGAAGACTGGTGAAGTATCTGAGATGAAATCAGGAGAGAACGTGAGATGGGGGGGGGGGGGTGACTGCATAGGCGTTAGTGACACCGAGGGGCAAAGCTGAAGCCATAATAGTCAAAAAGGAGTGCACTCACTTGTCTGCAGGAGGACGCCTTGCGGATTTCTACAATTAGAAGAAGTACATACTTGGAGTAGTGTTTGACGTAAACATGCAAGAAACTTTCCAGATACAGGCTAGAGCGCTACAGGTGACTCCCCCATGGCAAACACTGAACCAGATCATGCGTATTTTTTTAAAAAAAACAACGAATACGTCTTTCATAAGGAAAAGCCCAAATATGCTAGGGAGACGGTTTATATACAAGGGACCATGTAAAGGCTGAATGGGATCACTCACCTTGCCGCACAACACCTCCTTCAGGTCGTTTACAGGCAGGAGGACGCTCAGACTAAGAGAAGCAAAATAAATCAGGAAATAAAGTTTAATATTTCATATACAAACTCTTGAAAATGAGGGCTGTCGCAGATCGCCGTCAGGTCAAATACAAATATTGGAGAAGTATTGCCAGCAAAGACTGTAGGGGCTGAAATGGCCATTAGTGACTCAGGTGTCAGCAGGGGGCGAGGGGGCCGGGACTCATAAAAAGGCCGACTCTTTGATCAATGAACATTACTTCCTTTACTTGCTTCTGTGGAGCAGGCGATATTGGTCGCATCCACAGGAATACGAGAACAGCTGCCGGCAAAGGGGAGGGAAGGCGAAATTACGAGCATACGCAGCTCCATTCTCGCACACATGGTTGATTATGGGCATCATGTGGACCCCAATGAAGTTTACCGTGTGATTTACAAGGTCCCACCTAATTACCCTAAGCAAATGGGTCAGCGTTTGCTAGCAACAGCAGAAGCGGCTGCCATCAGACTACGGAGGCCGGTCGTGTGAGCGCAGAAGAACCTTTTGCACGCTCCGCGTCTACCGTGGCCAAAAATCGACTAACAGCGCGCATGTCTCCGCACCCCCGTCCCCCCTCCTCCCCACTGTGACAAGGCTCTGCCTAACCCTCACTGCCACTTACTGCCTCCTCTCCCCTTCCCCCTATTCTCACACTCTGCTTGCATGAAAAGACGAACCGCAATCGCTTTCTCTTATTGCTCACACGTTTTACTTTGTACCTTGTTCCTATATAAATGTGCTGACCCGATGAGCATTTATCGGAAGCATGCGTGTGCTCGCCAAATGCTCCTCTGGATTACTTCAAAGGGTTTGCTGTTTAAATTTTTCTTCGGAAAGCACTTACTGTTCTACTGAATTCCTGAACCAAAAACCCGGCTCTTTGGGGAGACGTATGAGAAGAGACAACTTCCGTGCAGCCGCCGATCCCAAATTTAGCGTCGAAAACGATGGACATTCAACGTGAGGATTTTCCATCGGCACTACAGACTTGGCAGTTGTACCTTCATATGGGATGATCGTGCTCGTGTAGTGGACATCCATAATGGCTACGTCGCGCCTCTCGCTAGCGCCTGCACCTACGTTCTAGCGACAGCCTGCTATGGCACGCACGTCTGCCCGGCTTCGATTTGTCTCGTTGCAATTCACTGTCTGCACCACGCATTCGGTCGATTCTCTGCCTGCACCATGCGAGGCTTGTCATTACCTTCGCGTGGGCTCGGAGCCAATCAATGCAACTACTATCGCTGATTGGTAAGACAGACGGGAACAGTCCAGAACAATAAAGTAAACTATCTGCAACGACACTTTTGCAGCGGCGACCTTCGGCGACACAGGGCTCGTCGCTCTCGCAGACGCCGCCTCCGCGACGCCGGACGCATCCTCGTCCGGTTGCCAACTTTCCCCTTCACTATTCTGTACAGAATAAAGTGGCCTAACCAAATGGCGTCCTGCTTCTAACCACTTCGGATATGGCCTGAAGTTGTGGCGTACTAAGCGTACACCATCACCGCTTAGTCGCTACACTCGCCACAATCTTGAAGGCGCCGTTGCGACCTTCGCGTGAGCTTATTCGCAATGTGGCAGACCTGTGTCGCATCCACTACACTCTCGCCCACCATGCTGAGCCAATTCCATCTTGTTAACTTCCTTAGAAATTAATGCCCTCATGGACAAACTATTTTAGACTCGGTCCAGGCGCTGATATGAAAAGGTTTGTCCCGAAGTATTCACTCTAAGTTTGTGCATCTACCTCTGGGAAAATAAAAAAGATGGATGTCAAAACTAAAGTAGATACCAGAAAAAACGCGGATAACGCCGCGTCATACAGCGACATAAAATCGACGAAACTCATGTCTGCGGTGTCAACTGGTGCCTGCGCTGTCAGTCTTGTGAATCGCGCAGCATGTAAAATCTGAAACAGTCCCCAACGGACGCTAGGTACGACCCGGCCCCCTAACCCCCCATCTACTGGGGGAAGCTCTGGACTTTTTTCACCACGCCTGGAAAGTCGGATGAAAATGGAGGCTTGCGGGGCCCAAGAAAGCAATTAGTCGCGATTTTGCCGCGGAGATCCCTAGCACAACGAGTTATGCCTGCGACAAGAGAGTGCGTATGCACAACGCGATCGGACAAGTCCAGATCAGGGTGGGCTAGAACTGCATCCGCCTTATAAGCCAGCATACTGCTTTGTCTCCATACTAGGATCTGTTCTGTCGAAAATACGTCTAATCGGATTACAGTGGGACTTCTCCTGCCGGTCCGTACGTTCGTGACTCCACACAGCCTTCCTATTTTCTAAGGCTGTCTAGCAAGCATTGGTAGATAAAAAAACGCGGTATCATCTGAGTGAAGTTAAAAAATATGGTTTCAGTTACAGAGGTTGCAATACCTCAAAAACCGAAATAACCAAAAAAAATTCCAAGCTACCTCATACAAGTCGGAATGTTGCTTTTCGAATGAGCATCTTTTCAGTCATCAGTGGCCATTACAATGGCTAGAGATGACCAAGTTAGCAGTGTGCACTTCCATCACCTGTTTACCCTGTCTGGGTAGGCCTAATCGCATCTTACCAAAAAACTGCACGAAAATTCCTTTTGTAGGGAAATGGGTCACATCCAAACTTTGTACCTGAAGGACAGGTAGGCACTGATGTTAAAAGTGCCTACCAACTACTGTATCATTCCTAATTTAAGGGGACCTGATACAAGCTTTCCGCATCGTGCGCAATCAGGGCTGCTGCCTCGCATCTGGAGACTTCTTCGAGTTGGCGACTACGACTAACCTGAGAGGCCATCCACTCAAACTATGCGTGACTGGTGTCCGGCTAGACACACGAAAGTCCTTCTTCTCCAACAGAGTGGGTGCGGCTTGGAATGCATTGCCGGAGGATGCTGTTATGTCGGGATCCGTAGACACTTTTCGACGGAGGCTGGATCAAAATTGGAGCGCGCACCACAATAACGCCGGACTACAGCCACCTTGATAGCCAACGTCGACAATTTAGTGTTATGACGATGCTATTGCCAACATTCAAGTAACATGTGTTTATGTAATCTATTAATTTTGAACCACGTCGCACACCGCTGCTCGCATTCACACGATCCCTACGGACTAGAAAAATTTACTTCATTTCCGTATCTTAGGTGTGCTTCAACTGCCTGCTGCACTCAATCAACAAGCCGGGTTCATATGGCTTTAAGTGTTGTTAATACGTGAAATTCTGTGTTCATCTGCACAGTTTTTGTTATTCCCCTTCTATTTCTTTCATGTTACTTCCTTTCCATTTTCTCCATATACTTCCTCTGCATGTAAACAATAGCGATTTCAAAGGTACACACCTACTTTCCCTGACATACACTGATACTGAAGGAGTAATTGTATCTGCATTTCAGGTTTATAGATTACATACTGTATCTCTACCATAGAAGCGAAACCCTATATTTCTTGATGCTACTAGGAAGGGGTCGCCAAGTGCTGATAAAATTATACAGTAGATACAGATCGCGTTGCTCGGTCCAGAGCAGCAGTAGTAGTGACCGTTCAACTATCGTGACCAACAACGTCTACCATGTGCTCCACAGAAAGGTGAAGCAGGCGCGGTGACTTACGAGTGAATTAGGTTACAGAAAGAGTGGCAGACTTGCGCAGCATCTACCGCATCCCCCCTTCTCTCCCACCTGGGCTGGATGTCAAGGCAGTGTCAAGAAGACCGAGGGCAGGAGAGGGCGCAGGTGGCTGGCACGGCCGGACCCGCACATAGGCTTACCACTACACTCCCTGGTCCACAACGCACACTGAACGCAGGTGTGACATCCGTGGTGTCAATTTCGTTCCTCGTTTTTATTGCTACTAACCGTTTGTTAGTAACCAGACTTTACTCATACCACCTGCCTTTGTCTCTGTACCCCTAATCGTCGGTTCTCGTTATTCATTGTTCTGTGTCCATTGTCTATTGCTCTTTGTCGCCGCTCGCTTTTATACCGACCACCACACTTTGGCGTCATTCGCTGACTGCCTTTTTGGCTGGAAGTGGGAACAGCACTGAATCGAGAAAATCTAAAGAATACTAACAACAGGAACTAGGGGGGATGGCACCGATACCAGTGGGCTCGGCGTGGGCCTGCACGTGGGTGTACCGCCACACCTCAACCAAAAAAATTGCCGTGCAATCACCCAAAAAACATGATCGAAGTAATCCAGCCATAGACAATCAATAAAAGGTGCAAACACGCACACAAACCTAACTGCTGTAACTGGCTGAAAATATGATCATTCAAAGGTCAGCACTCTGGCGAGTGTACGACAACCCTGGAATTATATTGCACGCTAACCAGTACTGCAATCTTCCTTAAGTAGCCTTTTCGGACAAAAGTCATTTTTAGGATTACGGCCAATGCTTCAGCAGTTTTGGCCGCTAAACTTGAGGCTTTTTCGAAATCCACTGCCTATGTTGACTGGAAGTGGGAACAGATAGCTGTTCCACAGTTTATGCATTCACAACTCCCCTCAGGACAGGATAAATCAACTAGGGAGCCGCTCGTCGTCCTCACAGGAAAAAAGACTTTTTTCTTCGAGGCAGTTCACTTCGTAGATCGTCCCCAAAAATTCAAAAGGGGAGAGGATCAGAGCAGGATACTAGAAAGAACCACAGACGACAAATATGCTTACAAATGAGCCCTCTTCTGGGAATCTTCAATGGTCTTGGCCATGTCTTCGATCTTCAACTCGATCGATTTCCCATTTGCTTCAGCTGCACCTCCCAGCTGGAGAAGTCGGTTTCCAACGACATTGAAGAAGCCGGAATCGTTGGGCAGGTCATTCAACCTGTCCTAAGGGGGGAGAAGAAAATCAGAACACGTCAGACATCCAACTGACTGATTCCAGCAGTGCAGGAGACGCGATCGCTGGAACAGGAACTTTATTAGCCTAACATTTCGGATTCACACTGGAATCCTCATCAGAGACAGAGTCAGACTCTGTCTGTCGTGATGAGTTGGAATGAAAATCCGAAACATGGAGCTAATAAGGCTCTTTTTCCAGCGATCGTGTCTTCTTCCTCTCGACTACTTCCTGAAACTCGCCTGTTCGCTTCTATTGGCAAACGTGCAGTATAGGCTTACAACGGCCAAACGACTAAACAGATACGATAGGTCGCCCTTGGAATAAGTTTGATTAGAAATGATTAATTACGAGGACATCATTAAAGTGAGGGCGAAAATTGGAGAGTTAAGTTTGTGACCACTACGAGGGGCCACATGGGAGCTGCACTGGACCAATAATGAGGCCAAATTAATGTACAGCACGCAGTATTTGGACTGCACCATGACAAGTGCCGGACATGGGGCACGCCCAGGCGCACACGGCGCCAGCCGCTTGCGCTCGACCTTCACATCAGGTAGTTGATGGGCTGGAACAGTCGATTGTTGCCTGTGATAGGTAACAGAAAGAATGGTGCCAGTTCACGGGACTCTGTCGCCACAGAAATCAGGGAATATTCCCCACAATAAACAATATGACGCGCTTTTAAACTATCACAATCTTAGACCGATTTCTGATAGCCGTAAAAACAACGTGCCTGACTTAGAGGCACTGTGCAAGGTCGTACAAGCAAAACACAGGAGAAACTTGTATGGCATGATCAATTTATACGCACACCGCTTCGCACTCGATACTTTCCGCTGTCACATCGCCTCAGTTCAACATGGCTTCTGCGAAAAGAGGTCCTGCCTCACAAATCTGCTTTCGTCACTCGAACATTGGTCAAAGGCCATGGATAAAGGATATCCAGTCGATGTCATTTACTTTGACTTCAGCAAGGCGTTCGATTGCGTCCCACATAAGCGCCTTATTCAAAAGTTATCAGAAGTAGGGATAAGAGGAAATCTTCTGAACTAGATTCAAGATTTCCTAAACGGACGGCAACAAAAAGTCACTGCGGGCGGCTACTGCTCAGAATGGGCACCTGTTACGAGTGGAGTCCCACAGGGGTCAGTTCTTGGGCCGCTCCAATTCATTATCTATGTAAATGACCGGGTACGGGAAGTGAAATCAGACATAGCACTCTTTGCAGACGACCTTAAACTTTGGAGAGCGATAAAAGATGAAGATGACGTCAGGATGCTACAAGAGGACGTAACGAATTTGCACGCATGGAGCGAGAAATGGTGCATGAAATTCAACGTCAAAAAATGTGCAGCAATGCACGTAGTATCAGCGAGACGAAGAACAAATGCACCCCCCACGACAGTATCTCCTGGACAATCAACCACTTAAAACCGTAGATGTGTAAAAAGATCTCGGTGTATTCATTAAAGACGACCTAAACGTCACTACGCAGTGTTCTAAAGTCGCTGCGCGGGCAATGTCCGTTATGAGCGCGATACGCAGAACGTTTATTCACTTGAATAGAGATGTCTTTGGCAAAGTATACGGGACATTTGTGCGGCCGCACCTGGAATATGCGGTACAGGCTTGGCGGCCGTGGCTTCGGAAGGATACAGATATCCTTGAAGGTGTACAACGGCGTGCTACAAAGGCTGTTCATGGCCTCAAAAACTTCACGTACTAGCAGCGCCTGACGGCCTTGAACCTCTATCCCCTCCACTACAGGCAGAACAGAGGTGACCTCATAGCAACGTTCCAGTTGATAAAAGGACTTAATCTGGATGTCGACTGGGAAACGTTTTTTGAAATGGCACCCAAGTCCAATCTCAGACGACATGATTACCAGCTTAAAAAGGAACTGTGCCACACAAATCAACGTTACTCCTTTTTCTCACAGAGGGTCATTCGCCAATGGAACTCTTTGCCGGAATTTGTTGTTAATTCCCCTACCGTGAACGTGTTCAAGAGACAACTGGATACTCACCTGCTGAAAGGCAACCCAAACTGCCGAAGCCTGATCTAACGGATTATTGAAATGACTATAAATATACTACTAACATGATTTCAACAGATCCTATTTTTTGCGTCAAACTTAGCCCATATTGAAATTTTCACAGTCCGAATGCGGTGAACAAAGTTTTTCGCAATTATTTTGCGAATATAATACCCCTTTCACCTTTATGTTACATTATTAGATTTATGAATTCGCCCTACTAAAACTGCAAGCAAAAGTTTTGCAATTTAACTATTTTACTTTATACCTGTACCCTCTAAATGGAGTTTTCATGGCTTCTGTCGTTTACTCCAAATATACTGACTGATATACTGACTGATGTCCGCAAGACGTACAAAGTTAAAATAGTAACGCCTACTTAACCATTGCCAGTAGAATGAGCATATATAATTTAAACAACAATATTGATGAAGTACGCTCGTCGTGGTGATTATTCGGCATAAAGCGAGTGTCTTTTTAGTAGCAGCCAGAAGAGAGGACAGCAACGTATATGAACCACTTACACTGCAAAGGTTAGCGAGCTGATGATGGATGGGATTGCGATGAAAGCCTGGGGTTGCTAGCCGGCGATGCATGAGGTAGGACTTTAGCAAATTCACATAACTAGAACAGGACAAAAGACCAAATGAAAGCATAACTGAGGTAGGACCGCGTGTTACAATTTGGATAAGCAAAATTCACCGGCAGTCAAATGTGTTATGGAAGTCCTAGAGAAGGTTTCGTTAAACGTGGATAATCAACATAAAGAAGTGTAAGCCAACAGGGCTTTCATCGCCCGATAATAAGGGGTGGCGGCACCTGAGCATAAAGTGCTCCATGAGTAAATACCCGAACCTCGGCGACAGAAAATAGCAGGTGGCGAGGCACTGATGTACTTCGGTTCGATGAAGCATTTAAGACCCACCTGCTAGACCCCGTCTGTGGACCATCTGCGTCGTGCGCGAGCCCATGTTCGTGCTTCTAGTCTCAACCGGTCGGCTGATTGGCTGAGTAAGGGCGGAATAAGCCCGAAATAGTGCTGTATCGATGTACTAGCATTCTCTGTCCCTCCCTCAGCTACATTACGTTCTTTACCAAATGGTGGTCAGAATATCTTAACGTGCCTCCGGACACGGCTATTGACACGTTTTTTTACTCCTGAAGCTTCTGAATTCAGTTGTACGGAGGGGATCCTCATTGTCGTTTACTTTAGAGCTTCAGATGTCCTTTGTAGTGGTGTCAACTGATTTTTACGAGTAGAAGGGCTTATGTTAAACCTAACGTTGTCCTTCCGCGGGTGAAAATAGGAGATGATAGAGGAATGCACTATTTGCATCTCTGGCATTTGTTTGCTTCGTAAATCTCTAGTGCACAAGCACAATTTAAAAAAACAGACCACACAACGTGCGTATGCCGAAAACTGACTTTCCCATGAATTTCACCATGCGCATTGTTGCCAGGAAATTAGCACAGACAATGGGTACCCTAAGACGAGATCCAGCCGTCGACTTCCCGAAAGCGCGCCGAATAGTTTGTCGTTTGTGTGTGTTCCCAGTTTACCAGTCTATCGTATGAGAAGTCCCACAGTAGATGTGCTGTCCCTCATGAAGGGTTGACCGAAATTCTGGAACGTGTTTTTAATTCGAAAAGACTACTTAAGTATGATTGTCATGTCGATTATCGTGTCACTTAATGCCAACATATTTCAGTCACGTCAGGATGCCGGCTTTCGAACAAGCTTCTTATCGGCCGATTGCGCAGACTACATTCCGTAAAAATGATTACTTAAGCATTTTTGTCACTGATTCTCGGCGTCCCGATACATTCGAATATATTTCATAGAAAACATGCAAAAATATTCATTTTCCTACTCATTTGGCAGTAAATTTCGTCTTCTCCAAACTTTTTATTTATCGATTTTGAAAAGTTTCTAATTATGATATGTTTCATGACCGTGAAATATCCAGTCATACAGCATCGCATCACTGTTTACAAAGGGCAAAACGTGGTCCACATATGTTAGAAAATTATAGGCTCCAAGTATGTGATTTGCCTTATACGGAAAGTATGCAGTTTACGATTTGGAAAACCTAAATGCACATGTAACGGCGAGCGGATTCAAAGTTATGTGGGAAGTGAGAAATTTTTTTTAAAAACCGAAAGATACTCTTTCTTCAAGTATAAAGTTTGAGACGAAACTTGTTTCAAAATGAGTAGAAAAAGGAATATTTTGTGCATATTTTTTATAAAATACATCTGAATTAATAAGGGCATTAAAACCAATGGGATAAATTCATGCTATTTAAGTAGTCATTTTTTACGGAATATAGGTTATGCAGGCGGTTAGTAAAACGCTCGTTCGCACCCTGGTGTGACTGGATTATCTTGACATTATGCGACATGATAAGTAAGATGACAATCCCGCTTAAGCAATTTTTTATGGTCGAAAACGCATTTCAAGACACACTTATGCCCAGGTGCCGTAAGTGACATTAAGCTGCTAAGTGAAATTTTAAAGACGATCAGACCGTCTGTCTTCGGCGCGGACACAGGAAGTGCAGGCCTTCGTAGGGCTTGCCGTTCTTAAGCTTGATACGGCTGCGATCGTGTCTGATCTAGCCGGCCTCGGTGATGTCACGAACTGTACCTCTCAACGCGTGACGATCCGCGGCAGCAGATCTGGACAGCTCAACCCATTCCCTTCGCCAACGACGTTGACCGAATACCGCAGGTCCAAGAACCACCTCCATCTCTTGACGAACTGTGGCGAGCCAGGTTTTGAACTGACCCCCTCTTCGACGCCTCCAATGGGGTAGCGCTGCCGGATCGAGGGCAGTAATACTGAGCTCCTGAGATGGACGACTAAGAACATGCCCGAACAAGTTAGGAAATATCATCAGCATAGTCGAGATCAGTCAGTCGGAGTCCGAGTGCAAACTCAACGCCCTCACCCTCGCGTAGGGCCCTCCCGGGGATCCAGTCAATAGCACAGTTCAGCAGAATGGGTGACAGGATACAACCCTGCCGAACGCCAGACCGAATACCGAGCGGTTCAGTACACCACGGCTTAATGCTGTTGGAACTCAGAGGCTGACCAAAGTGGCTCGTTGTCGTGAGTTGATTGTTAATTTCATTCAGGAGGGCAATTTCTTGCCAAGGTCATTTCTGACGGTGAGCGCGGCGCCACAGTTGCGCTGTTTCGCTTTTTACGGGTCGCTCCGGAGGAAAACTTACCCTGATCTAATTTTTCCCCGATGCCTTTTTCCCACAGGACTGAGTAATCACACAGGAGATGCGCCAGACCAACAGGCGAGCTACACTAGGGCATGGCACGCGTTAAATGGGTTGCGCACAGTCCGCGCCTCCCATCAGAAATGCACCACACATGCTGTGTGGCGGCACATAGATATAGGTTATTGGACTGGGCTCTAAGTCAAAATACCAGGCTTAAGGAAGACTTCAAGAAATAATCGGGTGGTAATTTCTCTATCAAAAAGGTTCTAAGTTAAAAGCGGCGTATTACGGTGTATAAAGTCAACTTATTAGGAACACAATTGCCTGCCTGATGCACCACGTGGTTCGCGTTCTGATCAGCTTGAATGCCACGCAATCCTCTGAGAGACCACGAAGACATCTTGTTTTAGGAGATGGTGGATATTCTGGCGGCAGCTCTAGACCCAGGTAGGCAGACAGCGGCAGCCACTTCTCCTCAAGCCAGGCCGATGTTCTGTCTAATTCGCTGAACCATCTGGCGCAGTCTGGATAATTGTCATCCAGGTACTGAAAGGTAGAAAGAGTACTGGTCATGAAAGACGGCGAAGGTAGTTATGTTGGGCGGGAAGAGGAGGCGGTTAAAGTTTGCACTTTGCCCACTTTTTGAAGAGTCGCCTTGTCACGAGTACGGGGCCACACCAGAAGAGGAAGACCATGACTGCGAAAGGCTGAGACCTCCCGTTCCAGGGAGCGCGGGAATTGTGGCACCTTGGCGGAGTCCGGAACTTTCATCTTGAATGTGAGGAAGTCGAGGGTTGTGTCGGCGGGAGAGGTTAGCCTTTGGTCTACAGAAGACTCTGAAAGGAGTTCGGTTTCGCGGAGATACAGGTGGAGGCGGCTTTGTCCGGAGCTATAGAGTAGCTCCCCCTTCGTAAGAGGGCTCAGGACAAAGGCAGCGTGACTATTTGACAGAGGGGATATGGTGAAAAGTTTCGACTGTCTTTGGTGGCAATCCTTCAGCAGGAGTTGGATTGATTCTGTGGGATAAAAAGGAAAACAGAGTCACAAGCACCATTGGCAATTTAAGGAAGACGGGCGTTGCAACGGAATGATTGAGAAGCCCTTAGGTGCGTGAGACAGAGCGGCGCGCGTGACAGGAACTCAATAGCACTATGTAGTCGAAAAGCATAAAAACTATCCTCGCAAATAAGCTACGATTAGTTACTGTTGAGGGTTAAGGTGAGGTTTTTACTCAAATAGAACAGCTCGAGTGTGGAGAGCATGATGGATCGTGTAAAACACAGTGTAGTGTGAATCCCTCGGCAAGGCTAGCTGTTCTATTTCCTATGAATGCAGTGGTGGCGAGGCAAAAAGTATTTGAATGAGATTTACTACGCTTTTTTATGAACTGCACCTAACTGTTAGTGCGCACAACTTTATGTCGTTTAAAGAGAATGAACTAAATGGGGTGGATCGACTGCTCCAAACATTTGAACGGATGGTAATAAGGTGTAAAACTGGCTACATGCCAGGTTGAGCAGGGCTGTTTATTCGACCAACCAGATCTAAACTGTCACCCACACAGTGGGTTTTGCGCATGTTTTCAAGACAAATGGAAATTCGGAGGGAATGTTTTCACAGAATGAATGAAAGGTGGAAGTCCATACAGCCAGAAGACGACATCCTGACATCTACGTTAACAGGTAAGTCAACTCCTACATCTGGCGCACATTTTGTGCTAAGAAACTTGCATGTGTCGTGCAGGGGAGCCGAAACATGAGGTTCAAAATGATACGTCTGGCGTACAATTATTATGCAACCCTACAAGCACAGTACTCAGCGCAAACTTATGTCGCGATCGGACCCATTTCATGGGAAAATCTAGCCTAACTGTGCCCTTTTGTCGACTTCTCGCAGCCTAACAGGGAAATCCTGCATTACAAGGATTTTGAGGAAGGCCATCCCTGGAGGCGTAGCTACACATACTTGCATGCGTGTGATCAAACATTCCGTTTAAGTTTCTTAGTAAGTGTTTTATTACTACTGGCGAATAAGGTTATCGAGTGGGGACACACGGGTAAACAACTTGTTTCGTGGATGCTTGCACACCTATCGTAGTTAAACTGAAGGACAATTAAGTTCTTGTCGCTTTGGCAACGAGCAGAGCTAGTGAGCATGGTCCCTTATCATCAGAGCAAAATATTGAGTGAGAGGTAACAAACAAGCTTACCTTCATCGTTCTCATCATATTTGTCACCGCCATAATACTTCCCCTGGCCTTGCACTGGCGCCATTTTTAACTATAGGTGTGCTACAGTCAGACGGCACAAGAATGAGTCTCGGTAGCAGCAAACTGAATTTGTGACAGATTCTGGGCTTCAGATGACGTAGTGTAAAATTATCTGTAAACAAAAGACAATCGGAAATAGAAAAATCAGGGGGGCTCAAAGATAAATCAAACGAACTATAATGACTGATTCATTAATTTTTCCGGCCAACCTTTTGATAAAAGCTTGGTCGTTTCGAAAAGCTGTTGCAAGTCATAATGACTTTGACTCAGCTCGTACAGAAAGGCCAGCGTGCCTTTATATATAATATATCTGTTTCGTGCCACTTTAGACGTATCTCATGGACGTTCATTGGCAAGAAATTGACATAAGCGTAAGAAGTGAAAACGGTCTCGTGCAGTTCCGCACTAGGGCTCAAGCAAACATTCCAAAGTATGTTTAGATTAGACGGGCAGACATAACAGTTGCAGTCACAAACGTATTCTTGCTTTCACGATCCTTTTCGGCAGAATAATGATAACAATAATGGAAATTCCGGGGACAGGATAACGCCGAGAGGACTCCCCCTACAAGCCTGCATGCAGGTCGCACGTGAAATTAATGCAACAACTGCGAGCAAGTCAATGAAGTCTAGAAGCAAGCAGTAACGAATGACAGTTTTGGCACAGTCAACGATGCTTGGCAACCGTTGCGGTGGGTTACAGAGACAGAAAAAGTCTCCACTAACCTAAGAGTTACAGATTATCAGATAAGGCTTTTTTCCGCAGCCCTCATCCTGCAGGTTAGGATATTCGTCCGACGTTGTGTGGGTACAGGAAAGAATTTGTAACTTTTGGTTCGGGGCTGTGATGTGCTGACACACCGCTCACTAAATCTTCGAATGAAGCAACTTTTATCTGCAGCATGCATGCTTGGCTCTGCATTTGACTTCGACCCACAGCGCTTTCCTATGCTGGATTATGCCACATGATAGTTTTTTACTGGAGATACTTTGGCTTATTTGAAAATAATATCACGAATAAGGATCATGTCTGTACGAATAGAGACGAAAGTATTTTCTCTGATATCAGCGTCTGTGTCCCTCCAGACGGTATTGTCCTGTCAAATATACTCAAATACAAATAAGACAGGGTTCCTCAGAAGAGAATAGGGCGGCCTGAGAGCTTGGTATTCGAGGAGTTACAGCGCAAGGGTAGAACAGGGAACAATTAACCAGGCAAGCAAAGACGGCATAGCGGGACAATGTCTATAGGATCAGAAAGACAAATAAACGCAAACAAACATAAGCGAGGAGGTGTTCGACTTGGTTTTTGCATACAAAAACAAAAATACCAATGGGAAGGTAATGTGTGATATGGGAAGGGGGCGTCCCTGCTTCGTCGTACCACTGCAGTCACATAACCTTATACTTCTGAGAGGACGAAAACATCTGCGCTGTGATTTAACTGGGAATGTAACTTTGGCTGCGTTGGGACATATGGGGTATCGATTTTCTTTGTGGGACAGTACCTGTCAGAGACTGGGGGGTCAATGAAGCGAAGAAAAACTCCGGAATTCCTGAAGCTGCCTGGCAACATGGAACTAGCAGCTGAGTGGCCATCTACTGGCTGCTGCAATTATGCTGAATATGGCCAACTGTCTGATTGGTTGAGACATGCATTGATGCGGATGATCGAGGTGCTACGCAGGGAATTAACCGCGTAAGGCCTCCCATTAGACTGTGGGACACCAGCACGGCCCGTCAACAATTTGGGCCGCGCTTCGCATGTGCCCCAAAATCGCCGTGTGCGTGCGGGTAAGCACGCAAGGTTTGCCAGAGTATCGCCCACTAGATGCGTCTTAGAAACTTACGTAAAATTTCGTCAAAATAACCTGACTCCGGACGGTACACGCGATCGATGCGTGAATACGCCACGGAGGCCTCTGCTCTCAAAGAAGAAAATACTGTTTGCAATTGTAAATGCCGCACTAAAACGCACTCAAAAGTTCCGCATCCCTCATACTTATTTGCATATAATTATATATTATAACTCTTCCCAGTCTAATTATTAAACAAATGATGCTGTCACAAAAGGCCTGGGGATGGTCGGGGGCTGAGTATATGCAACTCCACCATAAATGGTGTGCACCAGATGACCTACGAAGGAACGCTATGTCTGCTCGGATGAAAAATGAGCTTCTATCTTTCAGACTTGAGTCGTCCTCAAGAATTATGACAAACTGCACTCGGCTAGCGTTTGAAGTGCTATTAGGGAGGTATAAATATGCTGCATCTGTATATGCTACCGACGCCCCTAATTAGAACGGAGTGATAAGTGGTTTATGTCTAAAGGACATTGATAAGAGTCAACCAATCTCAAACCTAACTACAGTATGACAAAAAGCCGATAAGTGTTGGCGAAATGTTAGTGCAATTATATCGGCCACAAGTAAACATTCACTAATTTCAGCATGGTCGCGTAAACGTCTGTAATAAATACATAAGTAAAAGGAAGAACATAGTCACGGATAAAAAGATGGGAAAGTGTTAGTCTTTTTACTTAAAACATGCGCATCGAGTTCAGCAACAAACACTTTCCAAAGGAGCGGGTCCTTGTCCAAAAAAGCTAACAATCCTCTTGCTGAGGTTTCCAAAGTATTCTTAGCAATTCCGTCACCCGAACAAATTATTGAAGTTTTAAAATAATCTATATAGATTTATGACAAAGCTACAAGTGTTGCGCAATAATTTACATTAACGTCTTCGTTAACGCTCTGGGATGCAATGCCGTCATGTTTGCCGACGAGGTTAAGCTGTGGCAAGGCATCGGTTCTGACGCAGTCAGGTATGCACTTCAAGACAGACTTAACTGCCTAAGCAGTTGTTCATCCGGTTGGTTCCTTACTGTTAATGTGTGCATATGTATAATCCTGAGACTCCGCACCAGAAGGACCAGTAAGAAGGATGATTCCTTTCAATACGTCCTTGACAGACGAACCATTTCAAATTTTGAGGAACAGAAAGACCTCGGCGTCCTATTGATCTCCTCGCTAAAACCATTAACACAGTGCCAAAGGGCGAAACGGGTGTTATTTGCGCTGAGTATTTTTTCAGATCGACAAGGAGCTGTTAGTGAAAAACTACGAGGCATTCTAGCCCTCTCACGTAGAGTACTAAGGCCTGATCTGGCGGTCACAGCGGAATGAAGATTATCGAAAACTGTAAAGAGTACAGGCAATGGTTACGGAGACAGCCAACAATCATGATCATCTGTCTTAGGAAACTGGGCTGACCGAACTTAGTTTGTTTTTGTCCAATTACATACAACTGCGCGTCGATCTCTTTAAAACCTGCCGGATTGTCAGTGGCCGTGAGTGTGCGCCCAAAACCTTGACGATTTCTTCGAATTAGCTGAGGCGGACCATTTGCTTAGTCATCCCTTTAAACTGCAGAGAGAGCTGGTCCATACGGACGTCCGACAGAACGCCTTCTCGCAGAGGGTAATTGGAGCATGGAACGGACTCCTTGATGCAGTGGTTCTTTTCAATATCGTTTAGTCCTTTAAGTACCGACTAGATGCTAATTTGCTGTGAAACTACTGTACGTATAATCACAATTCTTTTATTGGCGGCAGTTTTCGCCTGTCGCACATTGAAGTCTGGAATAACCTTCCAATAAAAAAAGATCTGCAAACAATCGACACTTTTTTAAGAGAAGGCTGCAACTTTATCTGAATACTGTCTCGGTTAAACTTTCACTTTCCTCATCCACCCCGGACAATTTTGTCTATAACACCGAGAAAGGCCCACCGGACACTCAGAATACCGCCATTAAACTTCCCTATCCGCTCACATTTCCTTCTTTTGTGGGCAGCATCGCTTCCTGGGATCCCTAATCAAGAATGTTAACTTTTTCGATTTTTCAGTTCATGCATCATGCCGCTCACAGAGTGCGTTCTATCGACTCTCTTGGTGGAACCCTTTGCATTGGCCAGCTGCTAGTAGTCTGGTCGCATCTGCCTTGCCTCCTCCTCGGTTGGACTCGAAGCGGACTGTGACCGATCGCGTCTGGGTTCCTTTCGCCTCGAGACTGTTCTGTTCAGTTCAGTCTTTTGAGGAAAATAGGCGTAGGCCTTTGAGTACCCTCTTTGCAAAGTAGAAAAATGTGTGGTATACAGATAAATGTCCTGGACTGAAATAGTTCAAACACGCCCATAATGGTAGGACGAAATGTGAACGAGTCACAGGGGGTGAGCTCTAATTCTCATCGTTCTTGGTCATTTCGGAAAATAAGTATGTCAAGATTCTTTTAAAAACATTGTATAGATGGTGACATTACAACATCTGCGGAAGGGCATTCCATGGTTTTACCACTCGAACAGAGAAGGAGAACTTCAGCACATCCAGCCTTGCCTGCTGAATGCGCAGTTTAAAAGGGTGACCTCGGAGGTTGGTAGCGGTAGCAAATTCAAAAAAGTCCTCGATGGCTAGACTGCAATCCAACCCCTTTACAATGCGGAAGGCTTGCAAGAGATCCCCGCGAAGCTGACTGTTACTTCGCCACTTTAACGTGAATAACCTCATCCGGCATATGAATTCTGCCGTGAAGATGCCCGTTTCGGACCTCTTACTGAATTCGGCATTCAGGCCAGTCCGGTCTGGCCCGCCAACTTGCCCCTTCATTAAAAACGTTATACACTGTCGCATGCAGGCCGGTCCTGCCCGCTTTTATCCTTTCCTGAGCGGCAGTTTTCCTTGTCCTATAATGTTAGTCCAGTCGTTTTAATTTTCTTTGTTTGTTAGGAGTTTTTTCGTTCATCGTTCTTCGTAACCGACCACTTCTTCAATAACCATGGATTAAGTAGTGTGCAGATTCTGTACCTGTTCTAAAATTCATGTAAAAGTTATTGTTACTGGCTATGAACGGACCCTCACGTGACTTGAATAAAACTTATTATTGTTATTTACCGTTAACTTTTGTATTTTTAGATTTGCTGATGCAACAATTGCTTGTATTCTTATTTATC